GGGAAAGAGCATAAATTTTGGCTATCAATAAAAATAAATAGCATAAATTTTGGAGAGAAAAAGAATATAAGGGTAAAATTAGAACACATGACATAGAAAATTTTAAAATATGATATTTTAACTCATGGTATTTACCGAAAATGGTTTAACAAATTGGCCTATATGGTATAATTTGCCTTTTTTTTATCTTCATTTTTATACTCTCCATTTTATGGTTATTCAAAAATCATAATATTATACTATACATTCCGGAATGTATCACATTTATACTTTCATATTTGAAAGTATGCTCACTTTTTATATTTTTCTTGGTTAGTTTTCAATTTTGATTATAAAAAAGACCTAAAAATCTTAGAACCAAAAAATAAAAATAAAAATAAAAATAAAAAAACTTTGAGAAAAATAAAAAATTAAAATAATATAAAGGACATTTACGTCAATTTCATAGTCAAAATCAACATTTTACTAGAAAAAGGTAAAACTTAGTTTCCATTTGAAATGTAAAGGTATAAATCTGATACAATTCAAAATATTGTATATGATTTTTTCAAGGTCAAAATACAGGATATAAAAATGGAAAAAAAAAAAAAAAAAAAAAAACTTTATGTAATTTTATCATGTGCAAAATTATAACTAAAATAAATGTGAAATTATAAATGCTTAAAAGTCAATTGCATTTGAAATTTTAATTTATAATCCTGTTTGATGCAGGCAGTGTTCAAGGCAAAGCCATAAATCCCTTTATCTGGTTAGACGTACTTTCCATGAAGATTTTTTTTTTTTTTTTTTTTTTTTTATGGCTAGACATTGTACAATGACAACAGGTCTTCAAATTTGTGATGCACTTCACACTTTTTGAGGCATTACTTTTAAACACTAAGAGGACGTTTGGTTTATGTATTCAGAATCATAATTTAAAATTATTCTCATTTTACGTGTATTTTTTGTGAGAGAAAATACTGTAAAGAACCATGAATTATGATTCAGAATCATGGATGAATATAAGAAACAAACATCCCATGTTTAATTCTAAAAAGACATTTTGATTCACCGTATATCATCCATAATTCAAAGCATCTATTAAATCATTCAATGTAAATATAAGTCGATAGTCTATTTATAGCATGGAATATGTACATATTTGTTTCCTTAGAATCAGCTTTGTAATTGTATATACACGCACTGAGTTAGAAAATAATATAGCAAAAAACTATTCGTCGTTTACATTCATCATTTTGGGAAAACAACGAGCACCACATTTTTGGTATCCTTTGTTTCTTAAATTCTGAAGGCCATACACCCAAATCCAATATGATTAACATAGCGCTATCATATGACATATTTTTAGAACCATATCTATATACAGACATAATTCTAACACCATACAGGTTATCATCGAATAGTCAAAGAACCGGAAGTTCAAGCTCCATCCTTACTCTTCTCAGAAAGCATATAGTATTAACATTGAGTTCTCCATATCCACACATAACTATTCATCAGAATTTCTTATCTGACAATACTTGAAAGACGAAAGCATTCTACACCAATAGAATGAATAATACTGAATTTTCTCCTATAAGATTCCAAACAAGGTGAAATTTTTTCCCCTTCTTTATTTTTTTTTTCTTTTTTCCTTCAATATTTAAGCTTATAGTGTTGGGAATGATGTCTTTGAGATATAATATGATATTTATTTAATAAAAGAGTTTATTCGTTATTTTATGTGCATATATTATTGAATATTTTATGAATATTATTAAAAATTTCATGATTATTTATGTGATTTTAAATATTGTATATAAGTATTATATACGAGAGGATAATATTTAAGGATAATAATAATAAAAAAGTTGAGAATGATGTCATAAAAGCATGATATGTAATATAATATTTATTATTTATTTAATAAAAGAGTTTATTCATTATTTTACTAAAAATTCTATGATTATTTATGTGACCTTAAATATTGCATATAAGTGTTATATGTAAGATGATAATAATCAAAACAATGTTTGTAATGAATTTAATTAAAGTTCGGAATCTTTAATTAAAACATTACTAATACATGTCATTCTCATTTATAATGGAACGGTATTATCCGCACTGTTAATATGACGAGATATTGAATGAGGGTATTACGCATAATGAGATTATGTGGAACATAGACATAGACACAATATGAATTTTTGATAATTTATAGAAATTCTAATTGAGTCTACCGATGATTATATATAGAATTATCTTAATCTTAAGTTATTAACATACTCATATTTATAGATTTGTGTTTTTTGATTTACTCGGTACGGATTCCGTTCTTGTATTTTGGAGACATGATGAAGCGAGCAGCCGGGAATGTTGTTGTATGAGATGAAATTCATTCATTCTTGAAAAAGAGTAGATAAATAATTCTCTTGAGCGTTGATTCGGTACTTGGACCAGTAGAAGCTCCGATTCATAAATTTGTTTTATGAATCACTGTCCATTAGAGAATCAATGGTATTCAAGGATAAAGATGTAATTAGAGAGGTTAACGGATTTCACCTAGATCTAATTATGAATTATTTATGGAGTATTGATATATATGCAATAACTATATCAAATGGACACTTACAGTTTAGAAGTAATTTATGTCTATAATTACGAGAGTACAATTATAAGTTTATAGTGGAATAACTTTTAAAATTAATAGAATTAATTAATTAATTAAAAAGTTTAATTAATTATTAATTTTATTGGGGCTTAGAATTATAGGTTCATGAGTCCCCGCGTCATCCTTATCAAAGCAAAATGAGAATTTTAGAGTTTTAGAATTCTAAAATAAAACACTCAAGAATAATTAATTGAGAATTAATTATAAATTAAATAATGTGATTATTTAAATTTGAATTTTAGAACACACATGTGGAAGGATCCACATGGTGTACATGCCCAGCATTGTGAGAATTCATTTGAGATTCAGTTGTTTGCTCTCTAAGTTATCCAATTGACTTATTTGATAAGTTGTCCGATTGAAATTTAAATTAAATTAAGTTTGGCTTTAATTGGAATTTGAATTCGAGTCAAAATTGAACTGCATGATAAAGGACAATATTTTTCCTTTTCTAACTGTAATTTACGTCAACCACAGGGGATATTTTCTTGTGGTGGCCGGCCCTATAGGATATGAGAGAGAGGGGATTTTGTTTCTAAAATAAAATAGGAGTGGAAGATAATTATCAAACTTTATCTTAGAGATAAAGTTTAGAATTTTTCTGGGAGTCTGAAAACCACTCTATAAATAGGAGATTGCAGAAAATTGGAGAACACAATTTTTGCTCTCCCTAGCTTAGTGGTCGCTTTTATAGAGTGAAAAAATAAATAAAATCTTCTCCTCAATTCCACGTCTTTCATGTGTTGGTATTTGTAGAAAACTTAAGTGTTTGAGTGCTAATCCCGTTTGTTTTAGGTGTGCCCACACACGTCTTCGTAGATTCGAGAAATTGACGGGGAAGATTCAAAAATTCTAAATAAGCTTGGAGCGAGGAACGTTCGAGGTAAATAACTCAAGTTATCGACCTAATCATTCGCTAGGTAAATTTATTTATAAATTAATTTGATTAGTTTATTCGTGCATAAATTAATATATTCTATAGAGTATATCAA